GCCCCCGACTCTCTAGTGCCTCGGTCCGCCAGCAGCCCGACTATACCTCGTTTGTCTTGTAGTTTGTTCGGAATTTTAACGGCAAACACAGTCCGCCGACGCTATAACAAACACGCCCCTGGTCCGGCACTATAGGGAACTTCCACTTTTTCTTCGTTACACCCGCGTGTACGGAGCGCCTGCTTTTTAATGGTGATTCTCGTTACTCACGAATTTGACCCATCGGCAAGAATCACAAGCCGGGAGGCGACGCGCGATTTGATCCGCGACGTACCGGGACCGTTTCTGTTCCCGTTTGGCAACGCTCGAATAAGCGAATTCGAATTTGGGACGACGAGTTGCGTGGAGTCTAATTTGTTTAACGAGAGAGACGGTGGTGCGGAGATTCGGGTTTCTTCGAGTTCGAGCAACGGGTAAATCGAAGCGGTTTCGAAGCAAATTCCGACAATTGTATATAAATACAATGATTTAAGAGTTTTCATATGGAAATTATTAACACTCGAATGACGGAACCTTTTGAAAAAATTATAATTGAATATGCTTAGAATTATTATTATTATTATTTGTAATATATATTATTATTATTATTAATTATTATTATTAGAATAACGAGTAAATCGAAGTGATTTCAAAGCGAATTCCGTCAATTATAAATCCAATAATTTAAGAGTTTTCATATGGAAATTATTAACACTCGAATGGCGGAACCTTTTGAAAAAATTATAATTGAATATGCTTAGAATTATTTGCCATTTATAGACCTTAATGGAACGTATAGAAATGTAAATTAGTAAGAGCAGATCACTTTAAAAAGACTGTTTAGCTTTTATTCGCTTTTCAATATCAAAGATACGCGGTTATTTGTATTCAGTGTGGTCTAATAAATCTTTGTATTACCGGTTCATAGTCATCGAAATTAATTGTTGAAAATTGCGAAGAAATCAAGCGACCGGTAAAAATGAAATAACTTCGACAAATAACGAACTAAATATTTTTGTGTATCAAGATGTATTATATTACTACTTAATTCCGTTATATATATTCCAGTTATATATATATATATATATTTGTTGAAACGATTGAAAACCCGCAGCAGCATTTTGTTTCTTTGTTAAAATATTTTTCGCTAATGGATCTCGGACCTGTAAGTTTTAACGAAGCCGGCAACAAATATTTAGACGTCTCCCAGCATCTAATTAAAAATATTCCAAGAAAGAAGAGAAATAGGTTTCTGCCCTTCTGCATATATAACGGCGCATAATTGGCGAGAAATGCAAGAAAAAAGAACAAAGAGAATAGCGAGAAAAAGAAACGTTAAAGCCCGAAGGAATAAGAAGAAACAAAAAGGAAGAAAAAGAGAATAGTGAACGAAGCCCAGTTCAGCTCATTGGCTCGGTCGCCTCGCGCCAGCGAAGTCCGCCTCTCATTGGTCACTGTTTTTCATTAATAACTCGTAAACAAAGTCGCGGATTGCATTTTCGCCGAGGAAAAAGTTGCCTCAAATGACCTCAGGTACCCCTTATTTCCCGCTTGTAGAAATAATTTTGGGACACACTGTATAATGTACATTTTATTCGAAGTTTCGGATCGCTTCGGACACCGATCCGACAAATAATCGCGATGCCGATAGGCGAGCGAGAACTGCAAACACTTGGAGGTGCCGTAAAACAATCCCTGGACGGTACTTTTCGACTAAAGTCATGCCAAAACTGCACTATCTTTTGTTTCTAACGACTTTATAGTTTCAGAATTGAGTCTTCGAGAGATTTTTATTACAAAAAGATATAAATCGTTCAACCGGTCAAATAACCGGTCGTGGTAGGTAAGACAGGCTACAAATTTTTCTCGGCAAACAAACAATAAAAAAAGAAGTGGATATTGAAAAATATATTATACGTATATTTTAGGAAAAGTCGTGAAGTTTGAAGGCGATGCAATTACGTTGCATACAGAAAATTCGAATCGAAATTTTAACCTTCTAGGCCCGACGCACCACTATAGTGGCTTGCTCTAGTAGCTCACTCGCTCATCGTTTGAACCAAATAATCGTCTTCATATGCACTGTTTCACACTTCTTTCGTCTTCACATCGATTTACAACAGTCCACAGGATGTCCCAAAAATGTCTCGCAATCCGGAAATGGCGGGTTCCTCGGATCGTTTGAAGCAACTTCTTCCTTTACAAAAATGTTCTCCGAGGCACCGTTAACGAGTTATCAACGAAAAACAGTGACCAATAAGAATCGAGTGCGGCTGACGCGAGGCGGCCCAGCCAACCAGCGCGCGAAGTCCAGTTCCGCTCATTGGCTCGATCGCCTCGCGCCAGCCGAGCTCGCCTCTCATTGGTCACTGTTTTTCGTTGATAACTCGTTAACGGTGCCTCGGAGAACATTTTTGTAAAGGGAAAAGTTGCTTCGGATGGCCCGAGGAACCCGCCACTTTCGGATTGCGAGACATTTATATATATATACAGTATCAGACTCTGTACAGTACATACAGACAGATTTTAAAAGGTTAAAACCGGTCATTTGACTGACCGTGGTAGGAATAGCATTAAGACACCATCGGTGAAATTTGAAAAAAAAAATGAAATCGAAAACGAAACGGCGGACTTCGCAACAGTGTCATCGTTAAATATTCCAGCGCTTACAATGTGTTTGTAAAATGAAAATCGCTAAAAATCAATTTGCAATGCGATGCTGCCCGAACGGATCCTCTTTTCACGCGGTCGTGTTCTATTCGAGCGCGTGTCCCCAACAATCGGAAGGAATTGCCGCACCGTTTAAAACCCGACCCGACGTTATCCGTGGATAAGTAATCCAACCGGGAGATTCGAACAGGACGTGGTAGCACTGTAATCGATAATTCCTACGGAGGATGGTTGGTTTATAGGTACTCTCGAGCGATCTAAATTGCGTAGAGATTAGGTGCTCGGAAACCCGTATCCAGGATCGTCGTTGGAGGGTGCAAACGGAAACTGGGCGGACAGGGGCAGACTGGCTGAAGAGAGGAACAGGGTCGATCCAGCGGTGGGGGCGACGAAGGGTGAAAGGGGAGCGAGAGAGCGGGCGCGAGGGCTCGAGAGTTTCGCGGAGAAGGGGAACCACCGACCATCCTACCCGTTGGTTATAATGGCAAGATGGAAGGACTGGGGGGGAGGGGGCCATCGTAGGAAATTTGCAAATTTTCACGACAGGGCACGGATAATTTCCGGTTGGCTCGGTGGCTTCCGCTCTTGACAAATGACTGTGGTTTCCGGTTATCGGCTGCGACGACGACCCCCTTCGCATTCCGAATTAGCAGGAATGTCTGGCCCGCTATCGCTCCTCCGGAGAACGGGTAGACAATACTCTTTCGGATGCAGGACGCGTAATCGGTTGTTGGTTTTTGCGACGATTCGGGATGAATCGTGGTTCGATCCGGGGGTCGGTGACCTTACATTGATACCACTGTTGTGTTTGCATTGTATTTACATTTGTTCGATTTCATAAGTGAATTCTGAAAGGGAAGACATTCATTCGAGACTCGGAAATCGTATATCATCGTGTATTATCGCGTGACGGATTTATCTCGATAGTAATTAAAACCTTGATAGGTATTTATTATACATATAGGTGCTGTATCAACACAGTTTGTTGGATTTGGCCTGCCCTTTTGTAAAATATGTATCGATATTGACCAAATATATTGACCAAAATTTTCGACGTTACGTTAAACATTAATTTATAAAAACGATGTTCGACGAATTTATTATGTATATCGTACATAATATATGTAATAATTAATTTGGTAATTATTTAGAAACGTGGTAATCGAAATGTGTTATTAAGATCATCGTTCTGATCAATTTCTTTCTATGTACAGTATCTCACCCACGGCCAGAGTTGTGCAGAATTACAGTTCAATTACTCAAGGAATTATAACTGCATTGTATAACTTGCATTACCTCGACTACGAATTACAATGTAATTACAATGTAATTAATAAATTAATTGAATTGTTTTTAATAATTACAACGTGATTATTATTTATTCGATGCGCTATGCCGAATGAATAATAAATAATAAACAATTAAATGATAATTAATAAGTAACAATCGAAATTGTATTCGTAAATAAGTAATAAACTTTATTATTTTAAATAATTGATGTAGATCTATATGAATATAAGTAATTATTTTCAACTTCCAAATAACAAATAATTCTGAATTTTAATAATTACTTAAATGATGCTCAACTCTGAATATCCGGACAGTAAGATGGGACAAAAAATGAGTATACGAATGAAAGATATAAAGATGTATCTCACTTCTTGAAAATTCTAAGCTGTAATTTGCAGGACTGTATCTCAGTTATATTGTATTTCAATTACACTTGTAATTCAGTTGCATTGTATTTCAACTACCCTCCTAATTAAAATCATTAGTAATTGAATTATATATATATATATAATTCAATTACTAATGATTTTTGAATTATGTAATTAAATTAGCACAACTCCACCCACGATTAGGTGTTACTANTCCACAGATAATTATTTATTTAGACGAATAATGTGTATGATAAAATGGATCACTTACTTTCAAATGATTGTGCACGTAATGCGCATAGTAACACCTAATCGTGGGTGGAGTTGTGCTAATTTAATTACATAATTCAAAAATCATTAGTAATTGAATTATATATATATATATAATTCAATTACTAATGATTTTTGAATTATGTAATTAAATTAGCACAACTCCACCCACGATTAGGTGTTACTATGCGCATTACGTGCACAATCATTTGAAAGTAAGTGATCCATTTTATCATACACATTATTCGTCTAAATAAATAATTATCTGTGGAATATAATGGAACCAATCGTCAAACCGTTTTATTTTTTTTTAGAAAATATGCCTCTTTATTTTCAACCATTTCATTGTTTCGTGACTGTAATGATGATTTCTACAATCTCATTTGAGGGCGGTGAAACAATTCACTTGAAAAGGCCTACGCACTCGAAGCTCACCACTTTTGCGAAATTTCGCCCGGCCAGTTTACGAAAGAACGTCCCGACAATCCTCACCGATACAACCAATAACAAGATGCGACGAAAATGATCACGGATTCGAACGAATAATAGCGATCGTAACAAAGTGTCGACCACATTCTCGGACGTTTTAACCTTTTAGGTACGGCTGAATTCTGAGCGAGGCTATTTCTCTGGACGGCAGAGTCTGATACTGTATATACAGAGCGTCCCAAAAATGTCTCGCAGTCCGAAAGTGGCGGGTTCCTCGGGCCATTTGAAGCAACTTTTTCCTTTACAAAAATGTTCTCCGAGGCACCGTTAACGAGTTATCAACGAAAAACAGTGACCAATGAGAGGCGAGCTCGGCTGGCGCGAGGCGATCGAGCCAATGAGCGGAACTGGGCTTCGCGCACTGGTCGGCTGGGCCGCCTCGCGTCAGCCGTACTCGATTCTTATTGGTCACTGTTTTTCGTTAATAACTCGTTAACGGTGCCTCGGAGAACATTTTTGTAAAGGAAGAAGTTGCTTCAAATGATCCGAGGAACCCGCCA